CTTCCTCGACCCGATTACAGCGTTATGGACGTCCAAGTTCATGAGGGCAGCAAAAAAGAAGAAACTCCAGGATTGGACAACAGCTAAAGGCTCTGACTGCCGAGCCGTCGGCCAAGCCCAGCTCCAACAGCACAAGACAAAGTGCCAAAAGGAGCCTTGACACCCCCAGCAGTCAGGGGGCAGATGCCCAGCTGCGGGCTTCCAAAGAAGGGCCACCCTACAACTCACAACCCCAGGCTGCTCAGTGCCAGGTAGGCCTCGGGAGGAAGCAATGCAATTACATTAAGTAATCTGACAGGTATTAAAGGCAGGAGAAATTGCAGTGATTCTGGAAGAATAATGTTCTTTACGTGTTTCACAGCAGTGTTTACGCCAGTGGTTAAGCACGTGTAGCCCATTCACGCTGCCTGTGTTCTGCGTGCACTGAGCACGTCACGCTCGCCATGTCACAGGGCGGGGGAGCCACAATTAGACAGCAGCTTCCTAGGCACCAGTGGTGAGTTAATTAAGTTGGGGTGGGGGGGTGGGGAGACTCTGATTAGGAGCCCAACAGAAGGCGTGACGGTGGGCCATGCTCGCGCCAATTCAACCGGAGAACGTTAAGAACACTACATGCTGCAGCACGATGCAGCCGAATGCCCAGGGCGCTTCTATGTCCGCTCCTCTACTGACCATCAAACCCGGCTAAAGCGGGACGGTCTCAGTGGCCGGGCCCCGGCTAAAGCGGGACGGTCTCAGTGGTCGGGCCCCGGCTAAAGCGGGACGGTCTCAGTGGTCGGCCCCGGCTAAAGCGGGACGGTCTCAGTGGTCGGCCCCGGCTAAAGCGGGACGGTCTCGCGCGGTTGGCCAAGCAGGCTGCGCAATCCACCTGAAAGAGCCGCTGTTGAGGAAAACAAATTGCTAGAACTGTTGTCTCATCCCCCGATTGCAAACCTACGTTTACAAAAACGGTGAAGCTCTTCTGCTCATGGATCACGTGGGAAAAAGCAGAATTTTATAAGAAGGCAGATGGAACGAAACTGCTCTTAAATGGAGCTGCACAGAAAACAGACGAACGCTCAACTCTGGGACGCCTTCGCAGGACAGTCCGAAGCGAGAATGAGGAGTTCAGCTCTGTGTCATCCCCCCCGCTCATGTGCTAACGCCCCACCCTCAAAGAAAAAAAAAAAAACAAAACTATAAAGAAATGTAAATCTAAAGAAAAAGAAAGACAAGCAAGAGACAAGCAGAAGTTGGCTTCCAGAGACGGAGCGAGACCCCCCCACCCGCCTGTGGCTGCAGGCTCACTCGCGCAAGAAGGCCGTGCAGTAAATCTGACGCCCGGCCATAATCATAAAAGGCAATTAGGTGACCCGAGTGCCAGGCGTCCTTGGAACGGCCCGGTCACCACACCACTCCGGAAACGGACCCCCGGGCGATAAACCGGCAGCCTCAGCGTCAGTGTCATTAACCGCCAATGAGCTGCACTTTAAGAACATCATCAGACGGGGTCACTGGCCACTGCCGCACTGCACCCCCCCCTCCCCCCCCGAAAGTGAAACACCTGTCATTTTGTAACTGGGAAAGTATTACCGTTAAAGAGTTAATCTATCAGGACCCCAAAAAAGGCATTTAAAATGGTTTCCACTAAACATGACCCTCGATAAAAAGCCATTTCACGCAGCACTAAGAAGGATGTCTGCACACCAGCTTCAGATATGTCCCCCCTATTACCCCCACAGCCCTTATCCTCCCCCGAGACCAAGATGAACACACAGAGATCCAGAAATGCCCCCCCAAACCCACCAGGTAAATGGAGCGTAGCTGAGCTCCACAGCGCCATCCCTGGTCAGTTACGCACCCTGCAATGGCCGAAAGTCACCCTTCCTGAAGGAAGACTGCAATCACTATAAAAAAGTAATGAGAAAAGAACAGTGGACATATTAAAATGCTGCCTGACCGGCTGAGAGTGCAGCCTGGTCTCGCAGGACCGGACAGGGCCATTCGGAGGCTCCGTGCGTCTGCGGCGAACACATCACAGAAGAAATTAAGCTGACGAAAGGAAACTCCCAGGAAGCATTTAAATCAAGAAAAAAATGATGATGATGTGATTGAATGGCCATAAGCACAGGCCTCACTCTGGCAAGGGGGGCGGACGACGTCAGCTGGCCCCCAGGCAAAGATAACACTGTTTTCCCAAACCAAGCATACGAGCAACAGATGTCCACCATCACTCGGGGCAGGGGGGGGCAGGGGGGGCTAGATAAAAGAAGGGAATTAAAGAGGAGAGAAAGGAATTAGAAAAGAGGAGGTGGGAAAAGCAGAAGGGGCAAGCAGGGGGGGCAACGCCAGCAATGGGGGCCCCTGACGGCGGCCATGCACAGGCACGTGTGTGTGTGTGTGTGTGTGTGTGTGTGTGTGTGTGTGTGTGTGTGTGTGTGTGTGTGTGCGCGCGTCTGTGTGTGCGCGCGTCTGTGTGTGCGCGCGTCTGTGTGTGCGCGCGTCTGTGCGTGCGCGCGTCTGTGCGTGCGCGCGTCTGTGCGTGCGCGCGTCTGTGCGTGCGCGCGTCTGTGTGTGCGTGCGCGCGTCTGTGCGTGTGTGTGTGTGCGT